ACTTCTCTTTGTAACTTTTAGAAGAAAACACATCTACAACATTGGTGCCTGAATCCTACTCCATCCTACTTTGCATATAAGTATTCCTACATTCATGAACTTATGTTCAGGTTTCATCATGACTCTAAATGGTCCTCTCATACAGCTCCATATTTTGAGCTGCTTCTTCCACTGTAGATATTGTAGAGGTGGAAATGCCCCTCACAAGAAGACAAGTGTCTTCTATTCACAAGATACCAAGTATTCATTCATGGTTTTATGTGACCCCCAACGGAAGACCCAAAGATACAAGGAAGCTGTCTGAAGTTGTGGGTTTGATGAAGCAGGGACAGCCATAAAAACACTGTATTAGACACATAGGGTATGATATAATGGAATCAAAGAGAGTGGGGAAAATTGAGCAAGGTCTGCCCATTCCACTTCTGCTTGGCTCCTTACATGTAGCATTTCTTCCCTGTGGGTATGGGGCAGAGTTCTTCTGGAATTAAGCTCTTAATTACTATATGGTCAAGTCTTACAAAGCAATAATTTTAATTTCGTATCTGGCTTAGAGAAAAGGGGTTCTGGTTTCAGTAAGCCATCTTGGAAAGGAGGAATTTCAATGTCTGCTGATTGCCTTGGAAGAGAATGAGGGGTGAAAAACAAGATGTTAGGAGAAGGTCAGGGAGAAACTTAATTCCTTCCCCATGGAGTGTCATTTTCTCAGCCCCAGCAATATAAGACTCTCTCCCTGTTCCCCTCCACACCCACCCCTACTCTCTTGAATTTATCTCTTTCTCTGGGTATTATTCCCGGGGAAATCATGCCAACTCATTGCAATCGCTTTACCTATAACCCCATCACCCCCATCATGTCTTCTTTGGCACTCTGCTGAGCACATCCAGGAGAGTTTGAATGCAAACATCCTTCCTGCACTTGCTCCCCAGGGTGCTTAGAAATTAACTTTCAGAGCTTCAAGGCTCTGGCCATACCATCTCTTCATTTGAATTCTACCTTACCATTACTATCTGCCTGCTCTTAGGTTCTCCATGCACCCCAGACTCATCCGAAACCATGGAAAATAATAACACCCTCTGTCCAAAGTCATTATGAATGTTAAATAAGATAAACCAAATAAAGCATGCATGATGCTGGCTCATCTCCAGCTCTCAGGAGACTGAGTTATTATCTCCTACCTACTAAATTCTGCTTCGAGACAAGATTTTATTCTTAAAATCATAGCATGAATAATGCATTAAATATCTTGTCTACAATCTCTCTCCTCTCTCTCTCACACACACACACACACACTATCCCATCTTAATGCAAGTTGAATATCCTCTGTACAAATGCTTAAGACTAGAAGTTTTGGGATTCTGGCTTTTTAAAAAATTTCTAGAATATTTTTATGTCACAATGTAGTATCTTAAAGATGAGACATAAATACAAACACAAGATTAACTTATGTTTCATATATATTTTGTATACTTAGCCTGTGGGGTTTTTTTTATTTGTATCATTTAAAGACCTATTTTTATTGGAAGGCCAGATTTACAGAGAGGAGAGACAGAGAGAAAGATCTTCCATATACTGCTTCACTCCTCAAGTGGCAACAGTCAGAGTTGAGCTGATATGAACCCAGGGGCCAGGAGTTTCTTTCAAGTCTCCCAAACAGCTGCAGGGTCCTAAGGCTTTGGGCCATCTTCTACTGCTTTTCCAGGATATAAGCAGTGAGCTGCATGGGAAATGGAGCAGCCAGGACACAAACTGGTGCCTATATGGGATCCCAGTGCTTACAAGGTGAGGATTTAGTCACTGAACCACTGCATGGGCGCCTGAGCTTATATTTTCATTATAACCCATTACACGAGATCAGATGTGGAATTTTGCACATGTAGCAGCTCATTGTTGATCAAAAACTCTCTACTTTTGGAGCATTTCAGATTTGGGATTTTAAGCTTAAGGATGTTCAACCTGTATCTAATAAACTGCAAAGTACATCAAAACTTTCAGGTAAAGAAAAACAGCCAGTATTTTGTGCTTCAACAAGGCTCTAGAATTTGTATTTAATTCTTGGTAGCAGAATGAATTTGCCCCTTTGGGCTGGGGGAAAATCCAGCCTTGGGCCACGCACCTTGTGCTTTTAACTGTTAGAGTTCCTGGAAGCTTTACAGCAGCACTAAGAACTGAGATCATTCCCAGCAGGGCAGATGAAGAAACAGTCTTGGAAGATGCAGACATCTGCAGAAAACACACCAGTCACATGGCAGGCATGGAACCAGCCCCATTTCCCAGTAGCTAGTTGAACCAACAAAATAGATGAGTAGGTCTAATGTCAATAGCAGTTTTGTTACTCATTCAACACTTATTGATTAACTCTTAGGCTTGGCTAATGAGCCAAAACTAGAGAAAAATAGATCTTTGACCTTGCAGAAGTCAAAACAGGACCTCCCAGAAATGGCCTTCTTTAGCATAGTTCATGTTAGTTATTCAAAAAAGGTGACTGCCTCTGCTACAAAGGAATGGTCCCCAAAGCAGACCTCCTGTAACACAGTTGTATGTATCTTCAGTGATAAACAGCAGATGTAGGCTGAAACTTTTCTGATATCCACCTCCCACCCCCACTTTCTGCATAAGAAAAATCTTTTCACCAAAGAGACTGGAGGTCTGATACCTGGCCCAGAGGGAGATGGCCATGAGCAGTCCAATGATGCTACCAGTGAGATGTGTGATTGTTCAGTGAACTTGGTTTACTGCAGTTCCTTTTTATTTTCCTCTTGTAACTTATGTCACTTCCTGCCCCCAGCAACCTCAAATCCCTCTCTCTTTCTGTAGTCAAAAATGCCACTTACTAGGGCAGGGGTTAAGCCATCACGTGGGAACCCTACATCCCATAGGTGTCTTAGATCCAGTCCCACTTCTACTTTCTGATCGAATTCCCTGCTAAAGCAGCTGGAAGTGGATGATGGCTCTGATGCTTGAGTTCTTGCCACCCATGTGAATGACCCTGATGGAGATTCTGGCTTCAGGCTTCTGAACTTCTGAAGGACCTGGCTCTGACATTGCAGACATTTGGGAAATAAACCAGTACATGTAAGACTCACGCTCATATGCTCTCTCTCTCTTTCTGTGTGTTCATGTGTGTGTGTATGTCTGTCTAACCCTGTTACTCTGCCTCTCAAAGCCATGAACAGAATTTTAAACAGAAATGTTACTTGAACTTCCAAGGTGGCCCTTTCTTTGAGTGTTGAATTTTCTTATCATTTCTCTGCCTGCAGTGAAAACTAAATTTGCACCTGTTACTGCACCTATTCTATTTATTTCACAAACTGTAATGGGCAAACCTTCAGAAGGAAAAGAGGACATTCCAGAATTCTCAGAAAACACAATGGGATTTGAAAGGATGTAGATCTTCCAGGGAAGCAGCAGGGTTCAGAAATGGGCTCAGCTTGGGGTGAAGATGATACCTTATATACCCATATTGAATTATCCTACTGTCACCCCCAAAGTGTGTACAATTATCAAGCACCAATGAAAAACTTTCGAAAAAAATCTACTTGGCATTGAGGGCAGGTAGCATTTGGTACAAGAGTTCAAACATTGCTCGGGATGCCTGTATCCTAGCAGGGTGTCAAGGTGCTAACCCCCACTCCATGACCGACCCCAGCTTCCTGCAAAGGCATGCCTTGGGAGGCAGCAGGCGACGGTGCCACCACCTGTAACCCTGCCTTCTGTGTGGGAGCCCTGAGGGCATCTGAGCTCCTGGTTCGGAGCCAGCCTAGCCTAGAACTTGAGCAATGAAGATGTCCTTGTTTATCTCCTTATCCCTCTGCCCCTCACCTTTCAGATAAATAAAAGCACATGAATCAGGTTTAAAAACCATTCAGGCAGAACATGAAAATCAATAAGAAGGGCATGGGGTTCACTGAGTGTTTGGAGTAAACTTTCAGAGCCGTCAGATACCCAGGACTGGTGTGAGAAGCCGGCTGCCCTGGTGCAGTGCACGGACCCCAGCAGTGCAGGGACCCGGTCTGCACAGAGCGGAGATGCAGGACACCTGGGAACTGCAGCTGTGGATTCGATGACAGGACCCAGACTCCACAGGGAGCAGTTCCAACCCTGAGCCAGTCCCCCAGCCCTTCAGGGGGCCCCTAAGACCAACAATTTTCAGCATCAGTTCCTTGCTTTGCAAAATGGTTATAACATATTACTTCTCAGTTGTATGCGGCACAAAAGGCAGCAACCGTAAAACACTGGGCCAAGAGCACTCAATAAAACTGTTCCAAAGCCATGAAAAGGCGTGAACAAAGTTTGGAAAAGCAACTTTGGGATCTCATGAAAACGGCTCCATCAGAGCAGGTGGACCAATCACCCAGGTCAGACTTGGGAGACCCGCATTCTAACTTGACTCACTTGGGGTGGATTCATGGCTACCGATTCCAGGCTCGAGCTACCGTACACCCTGGGAAGCTGTAGTATAGGCCCCTGTCATTCACCTAGGAGACATGGAGTGCATTCGGGTAAGGCCCAGACCAGTCCCTGCCACTGCTGGCATTGGGGGAGCAAAACAGAAGATAGCCCTCTCTGCCTTTCACATGAAATAAACTGATTTTAAAAAAAATGAATACAGGCCATAGAAAATAAAGTGGAAGGAAGCCTCTAGTTTTAGGGCAGAATGGGATGGGTAAAAGAAATACCACTTTTCCCCGGGGTACCACCCGCTCCTGCCGTCCTCAGGGGGGTCGCCAAATGGCTGACCTTGCACAGCCCTCAGTCGCACCCATACCGCCCTGGTTTCGCAAGCTGCCCCTGCGTTGTCCACCGGCCAGGTCTCAGTAAGGCTCGCCCCGCCAGATTCGCTCCGCCCACCAGACGTCCCCACCAATCAGGCTGTCTCTAGCGACCCTGCCCTCCTGACGCTCTGGGATCGCCCCGCCCCTTACGCTCCCGATCCTCCCCGTCCTCCCGGTTCACCCCGCCCCAGGCTAGCTCCGCCCTCCCGGCTAGCTCCGCCCCCCGGCTCGCCCCGCCAGCCTCAGCCGCCCTGCTCGCCCTGCAGGCCGCTCCTGCCCTCCTCTCCTGCACCCCGCAGCTGTCGTTGCCTCCGGAGTGCCCAGACGACAACATGTTGGGCATGATCAGGAACTCCCTGTTCGGGAGCGTAGAGACATGGCCTTGGCAGGTGCTGAGCAAAGGGGACAAGGTAGGCCCGCAGGGCTGCCGGGGCCTGGAGGAGGGTCGTACCCAGGGCATTCTGAGGGACTTCCGTGTGCGTTCCGGGTGCTTCCACGGGAGCGGCCCCCTGTGGTCCAGCACTCGGGAGAGGGAAGTCAGGGGTCCTAGGGCATTGCAGTGGGTCCTAGGGCATTGCTGGGGTGGGGGGGGGGGGAGGAGTGGAAGGAGGTTGGACCCCAGCATGGCGAGTTGGACAGCACTTGTTGAACGCATGCGTTCCTCTAGACTTCCCAGACGGCCCGAACAGTTTGCTGAGAGACATTTAAGTGCAGCAACAATTGACTAGGGTCTTGTGGGCCAGAAACTTCCCAGTGCTGGAGAGCTGAATGTAGAAGAGCCAATTCGATGCTGTCTAGATGTAAATGCCCCAGGTGTGGGTCGAAGGGTCGGGAGCAGGGGGTCCTACCTGGGCCGAAGGTGGGGCCTCGCAGGTATGCGGGAGCGCGGTGGACGCGCATCGGCAAAGGCCTCGCATGCTACAGTGTCCTTGGCCACCAGCGCTGCTGGAGTTAGGTGCCTGGATGAGAAGGGCATAAATGCATGTTCTCCTGAATTTACACCGATGCCAACAGGGCCATCTGGGACAGCCCCCGTGAAAACAGCTTTAGTCTCCTGCCTGGCATGCCTACATCCCATGTCAGGGTACAGGTTACCACTTCTGGCTCCTAATCCCAGACTCTGAAGGCAGACCCTAGAAGGTGGCGGCGGACACTGCCGCCCAGGTGGACAACCTGGCCCTAGTTGCTGATGGCTGGACTCGGCCCGGCCTGGCCCAGCCTGGTCTTGCATTTGGACGGTGACAAGCAGATGGGAGCACCCTCTCCTTTTCTGTCTCTCCTCTGCCCCTTAAAATAATAACAATTAATTTTAAGAAGATGTAAACTTCTTTTGGCACGAAACCATTTTGAAAACCATGCATAAAGAAGAGCTCCTCAGAAGTGCTAGTGAAATTGTGTATTATGAGAAAGCTAGATGTGGGTTTAAAACAGTTTTTACACCCAAAGAAACTTTTTTCCCACCAACTTTTTTGAGGTACCCTCTATGGAACCCTCCCATCACAGGACCTTATTGATTAAGAGACTGTTCTCTTAACAGTGGTCAGTGTGATGACCACAAGTTCTAGACCCAATGAGACTGGACTAGTCAGGGAACCAGAGACCTGTTACCCCTCCTATCCCTGACTCAGTGTCCCCTGCTGTTCGCAGAGTGAGCAGGGCACCCCATAAGCCAGGGTCGCATGGTGGCTCCGTTGCTGTGCAGTGATGTGTGCCAGTGCTGCCACGTTTGTAAGGCAAACTAGAATCTGATTTGCTTCCTTGAGAGGCAAAGAGAAACTGGGAATTCCCATCTGCTGAGTCACTTCCCAAATCTGCAATGTCTGGGGCTGGACATAGAAAGCCACCTGGGTCTCCCACGTGGGTGGCAGGAGCTGTGACTGCAGCTTTCTCAGATGTACTGTTATCTGGAAGTGGGAGTCAGGTGCTGCGTCCAGGAGGCATACCCAGACACTCCTGTGTGGGACATGTCTTAACTGGTAGGCCCGGTCATCTTTCCTCTCTCTCCTGTTGGGTGCTAACGAACCTCAGGTTCCCTCCTTTGCCCCTGTGTGGCCTCTCAGCTCTTTTTTTTTTTATCTGTGTGACCGCTTCCTTGAGTCAAAGTGCCTCTGTTCTGTTAGGCCCTTGTGCATATGGTGTCACCTGTTGCTGATGGAGTGCCTTAGGATTGATGTGGCGCTCTCCCCCATCATTTGGTGGGATTATGACAGTGTGTGACTGCTTTCAGGTTGAAGTACACCATGCATTTCAAATGAACCTCGGTTTCTGACACTGTTGAATGGGTATAAAACTCTTTCCAGGATTCCTATGTTAAATTTCTAAAATATGAAAATATTTTATAAACTGAGCACTCTACAAATATGGTAATATCATTATATCAGAACTCAGCTCCAGTCTTACTAGCTATGTGGTCTCAGGTAACTTTGCTTCTCTGAAGCTATTCATGAGTGACAATGATAGCTCTTATCTTTGTAGATGGCTTTGAAGTTTAAATGAGATCCCCCATTACAAATGGTTCAACAGAATACCCAGCACCTGGATGGGTTACAGCACCCAGTAGGACCCCTGAGTTTTACAGGAAATGTTGGGATAGGTTACTTGTCAGCCCAACCACTCTGAACCCACAGATTTCTCAACTCTGTGACAAGAATGGCAATGCTGATGTAATAAAGAAATACTTGTGGATATTTGTAAACCTGCTTTAATATGCAAAGCCAGGATGCATTGTTTGGAAGAGAGCCTCGCCCTAAAGTTATGTTTCATGCCTTGGAGAGAGTCTGGGCAAGTGGATAGCATGCTGTGTGGGCCAGGTGGCAGGAGTGTGCAGGACTGATTGTAGGAGCTGGGCGGGGGGCACACGTGGCTGCAGGCGTTATCAGGTGCCTTCTTTCCTGCTCAGGGAGGACGAATAGGCATCTGTCTGTGCTGAATCAGGAGGCCGTGTGGCTGCTCAGAGCGAAACTGATATTCTGACTGACCTCCTTATCAGATTGTGTCCAACCTTATACTCATTGATTAGGATCGCTAGCCTGGGTTCAAATCCTGCTTTTGTACTGGAATAATGGAATAGAAAGTACCCTGTTAATTGCCATGATAAATATTTTCTTATAGTGAGAAGCAGGCTTCTAAAACCATGGTGTACAAACCACAGCAGAGGTCATAGAAGAAAACTGACCTTGCAAATCCCACAGGAAGAAGCATCTTGCAAAGCCTTTGTCTGGAACTTGAACACGACCTGACTTCCTACTGGATATTGAGAATCGGCGTCAATAATTGCTGCCTGCAGTCCTCATGTAGAATCTGGGAGGAAAGGCTAACCAGCGAGGGAGTGAAGGCAGTCTATAAATATGTTCTATATAACCAGAAATGCATGTAGGATGCTAAATGTTGAGAATCAACACCATGTTACTTAAGATGTCTGTGCTCGGCAGAAATAGGCAATCCTGGCTTTGCAGGTGTGGACAGAGCTGCCTGGAGAGCTAGGTAGATTTCTAACATCCATCTTTCACACCTAAGTGGTCACAGTGGTCCAGTGCTTCCAATGAGAGTCTGTAGATGAATGAAACCAACCCAAGGTGCCCTTTGGTCCAGCTGGCTTAGCACAAGGTGACTCTGCTTCACTCCAGGAGATGTTATCCAGGAAGTATTTCATTGTAGTCATGCAGAGTTGACTAACACACCTTACGGAAGTGTGTGTGGGGAAGGGAAGTAGCAGACAAGGAATGCCATAGTCCCCACAGGCAGGCAGAAAGAACCTAGCCAATGCAACTTCTGGAGTGAAGCAAGCCAGCATCCAGGAGAGTGAGCGAGGAGCACGATGGAGGAGGGATATGCAAGGTGGTGCTAGGAGGATTCGTTGTCTTGTGCACATGTACACATGCCTGAGGCTCTAGGGTCAGCTTGCTTCCAGAGTCCACAGAGAGGAAGAGGAGGAGTTGAATAGGCCTTCATAGCTGATAGGCTTTATTACCAGGGCTCTCAGAGCAAACTGGCTCATTCAGGCCTTGCAGTGCACTTTGCTGCACATCCACCCGAGAGCTCAGAGCACTTGTGCCATTTGGGATGACTCCTTTCTGCCCAGGAGAGCCTCCACTCTCAAGATTCAGCCATGCCTCTGTGTTTTTGTCACCTGCTTAGTCATTTAGTGATAGATTTAGTTTCATTTGTTTGCCATGCAGAGAAACAGATATTCTATATCTGCTGGGACACTCCCCAAATGCCTACCCTGGCTGGAAGTGGGCCAAGCTAAAGCCAAGAGCCCAGACCTCAGTCCATGTCTGCCATGGCAGTGGCAGGGTCCCAAGGGCTTGAGCTGTCACTTTCTGCCTCTCACGGTGAGGAGTCATAGGAAACAAATCAGAAGCAAAGTGGAGATTCGAATCCAGGCACTTTGATACATGAGGCTTCCCAAGTGGGGTCTCACCACCGTGCCAAACGCCCACTGCAGAATCCTGCGCTTAGATCACAAAAGCCAGTTAAACTCATTTGGAGTAGATTGGCTTACAAGCAGCTCACCATCATTGGGCTAAAGGCTGTGAAACCGCCTTTCAGTTCTGGGATCTGGCCTTCTCACTTGCTGTGGCCCACCTAACTGGTTTGCCCCAAAGGACATTGTCAGAATCCTTTCTTTTACTTTTGAGGGTCCCCAGCAGCTGGAATCCCCTTTTCTCAAGTTTTCAGAGTTGCTATATCATATCAGAATTATTTGTGTATTTCTACTCACCACCCTAAGTATCCATCCAGATTATTCTAATCTCTTAAGTCTATGGCACGTAGCAAAGGTTTTCAATCATGTTTGTTCCATGAATCAGTGAAGCAGTGACATGCTTACAGGTTACCTACCTATAAGCATGTCAGAGTTAGGTTGGCTCACCCAGATGTGTAAACATACACACCCAAGCCCCCAACATTACCCTAAGTAGTCCCCTCGGTGTTCCCCTACTGCCCTCAAGGTCCTCACCTCTTTTTTTTTTCTTTTAAGATTTATTTATTTTTATTGGAAAGGAAGATTTACAGAGAGACAGAATGATCTATCTGCTGCTTCACTCCCCAAAGAGCTCCAATAGCCAGGAGGCAGAAGCTTCCTTAGGGTCTTCCACACAGGTGCAGGGTCCCAAGGCTTTAGGCCATCCTCCACTGCTTTCCCAGGCCATAAGCAAGGAGCTGGATGGGAAGTGGGACATGAACCAGTACCCACATGGGATGCCAGTGCTTGTAGACGAAGGATTAGCCAATGGAGCTGTTGCACTGGCTCCAGTCCTCACCTGTTTAATGCTCAGAAAAGAAATATCTAGTTTTCATCTCTTTATCAGAGTATCTCGCGCAATGCTCTGCACATAGTAGCTCAGTAGTTGGTAGTTGAATGAATAGAATGGGAAGATCAAAGGAAGGAGCCAGCTGGCCCTTTCTCCAGTAGATCTTTCCATATGTAAAACTTAACTGCATAAAATGACATCTAGTACCCTTTCTCTGAGTTTGACTTGGGCATACAAGTGTCTGCCCATAATAACTAACATAAGGGCTAAAGAAAAGAGGTTAAAATGCTTGCTTCACCCCCAAAAGCCATCAGGAGACTCTTGCAACAGGCATGCGCCTGGAGTCTGAGGGCGGGAAGCCACTTAGTAACTATGACATGTTGGGCAACTCTCTCTGGTTCTTCATTTCCTCTCTGGTGAGACGGTTACACTAAGTGAGCTCCAAAATCCCTTTCATGGCTGCAAGTTTGTGATTCCCTGAGTAAGTGCTTCTAGCATTTCCAACATTACAGGTGGACTGCCACTGAGGTCAGCCAGGGAGGGCTCAGGCAGCTGGACCCCCACTACCCACATGGTGGCCCCAGATGGAGTTCCAGACTCCGGACCTTGGCCTGGCCCAGCTCCGGCAGCTGTGAGCATCTGGGACAGTGGGCTGGCAGATGGAGAGTCTCTCTGTGTCTCTCTGTCTCGCTGCCTTTCAAACAAACAAGCCAACAAAGAAGCCTACTCCAGAAGGCACTCTGAAAGCTAGGCTTACAACTAGAGGACCTCACAGCTCCCCTCAGGACGAGCAGGCATATCACCCCAAAGCCAGGGCCCGTTTGCTGTCCCTTGAACCTTGATCTGGAACCATTCCCTCTAGCCCACAGGAAGTGGCCCTTAAGTATGAAATTGGCATTTAAAATTTCGGGTCTCTCTGACTTCTTTTTATCTTGTTTTGCATCACAAAGCCAGTAGGTATTTTTACATTCAAATATAACGCTAAGATATTAACTCTGTATGTTCAGACAATACAGACCATTCCCAGACCCTATCATCCGAACCTCCCCTAGGGATCATTATGTCTACTTGGGACTCACACCCCTTTTATTAGTCAAGAATCTTCAGTTTTTAAAATCTTGGGAAAGCCTACTTGCCCAACCTAGGGCAGCTAAACTCTTAAAAAAAAAAAAGAATAATTTATTTGAGACAAAACAGGTTACCATCTTCTGACTCATTCCCCTAAATGCCCACCATCACCTGGGCTGGCCAAGTGGAAGCCAGGAGCTAGGTACTACACTGAGGTCTGCCAGATGGGTAACAGCTATACTTCTAGCAGCTGGATTCCTACTGCTTCTAGAAGGCATCACGGGTTACCACTTGGTGTCTGGTAAGCGCAGTGTCTTTCTGTGTCTCCAGAAAGACATCTCCTATGAAGAAAGAGCCTGTGAAGGAGGGAAGTTTGCCACAGTGGAAGTGACAGACAAACCTGTGGATGAGGCTCTCCGAGAAGCAATGCCCAAAGTCATGAAGTATGTGGGAGGCACCAATGACAAAGGTGAGTACCCCTGTGGGACATGGCTCTGGTCATGGAGGTGAACTTTATCCATCTCACTTCATCAGCAGAAAGTGCAAGGGAGGGACTACAAGGCACCGGTCACACCTGCTCTGGTGGTACATGAGCCTCTTGTATAAGGAGTCTATTGCAGGAAGCTCTCGGAAGGCCAACTTGATATTGGCCCAGCCCACCCTTCTGCTAAGAAGTCCCTGCTGGGCATCCCTGATTCAGGGCTTTCTCCCAGGTATGAAACTATTTTACTCTTTTTACTTCTTGGTTTGTTTAACCCCATAGTGCTTACCATATCTTTGTACTGGTTGATTAGGTAAGAAGTACCCACAATATACCACGTCACAGGCAGAGGGCAAAGCTGAATTCTTATTTGAGATTTCCACCCTAGACTGGCCATGCCCAGAGCCAGCCCCACTGCCGCCGATTCTGCTGGGCACAGAGGCTGAGACCATGGGCACTGAGTGTAGCTGGTGCCAGCTTTCATTCTGACGGTGGGATGAAGGAGCCAGTGGTCTGAGGATTCCTGTCTTAACAATTTGACCATCCACACTGGCTCACCTCTATCAAAATGATAGACCTGAAACTTTACATAAGATGTGCCTGTTAGCATGTACACCATGTTTAACTATTATGAGTGGCTCTTTAAGAAGCTCTTGGAATAAGAATTTAGCCTAGCAGTGAAGATGCTTGTATCCCACGTGGGAATCGCTGGCTTCTGATCCAAGGCACGCCCTGGGAAGTGGCAGCCAAGTCTCCCCTGCTACCCAAATGGATCAGGTCCCCAAATCCACCTTCAGCCAAACCCAGCCCTGCCCATTGTGGGTACTGAAGAGCAAGCCAGCAAATGAGAACACTTTGTCATTCAAATAAGTAAATTCTATTTATTTTCATTTTATTTGAAGAGCAGAGAGAGAAAGATCTTCAATTGGCTGCTCAAATACCCACAATACTCAGGGCTGGACCAGGCCAAGGCCATGATCCTAAAACTACAGGTGACCCAACTACTTGAGCTAGCACCTGGTTCCTCCCAGGGTGTACTCGGCAGGAGGCTGGAATGAGAGGCGGAGTCAAGACTCTAAGCCAGCGGCTCTGTGGAATGCAAGCAGCACAAAGCAGGATCTGAACCGCTGCTCAGGAAACCCTCCTCCACTTTTTCGTTTTTGAATAAAGAAAGCCTCTAATTTGGACTGCACTTTGGACTGGCTGCACCCCAAAAAGATCAGGAAACAGGTGGAAAAGGAGTTGTGTTCTATTTTTAGGATATGTCACAAGCTGATAATTTACAAAGTTGGAGATTTATATTAATATAGTAAAAGCTACTTGGAACAAAGTAATCAGGCTTTGGAAAATAAATTGACCAACAATATATCATTTTAAAACACTGTTGTAACATATTTTAAATTATATGTGAAATCAAAATTCGTTAGAGAAAATTCACTTCCCATCTAGCTCTCTGCTGTGGCCTGGGAAAACAGTTGAGGACAACCCAAAGTCTTAGGACCCTGTACCCATGTGGGAGACTCAGAAGAGGCTCCTGGCTCCCGACTTCAGATTGGCTCAACTCCAGCCATTGCAACCATTTAGGGAGTGAACCAGCAGATGGAAGATCTTCCTCTGTCTCTTCTTCTTCCTGTAAATCTTCTTTTCCAATGAAAGTAAATAAATCTTAACAAAAAAGTAGGTTTTGAAATGTAATCTTAGTATTCCTACAATCACATATTTTGCACGTTAGTCTGTTTTCCACTATTTATCGTCTTCTTAGGCTTGGTTTTTCATAGATAAGCTACATTACATCATATGCCCATAGCTTGCATAGACATATTCCTCTTTTAATGGAATTATAAACTCTACCCCAGTGAATATCCTATTACCAAAAACTTCCCCATATTTTGGAATATTTTCTCAAAATTTATATTTATGTAGGAAATAATTCATACACATAAAAAAAGTTCATGGAAAGTGGAATTAAAAGATAGTATACATTGGGGCCAGTTTGTGACACAGTAGGTTGACTTGTTGCTTGACCCATCTCAGAGTGCCCATTTAAGTCCTGGCTGTTCCACTTCCAATCCAGCTTCCTGCTAATGTAGTTGGGCCCTTGCTACCCAGGCAGGAGATTCGATTGTAGTTCCTGGCTCCCAGCTTAGGTCTATCCCATCCCTGGCTGTGGAGGGCATTTAGGGAGTGAGATAAAGAATGGAAGATCTCTCTTCCTCCTTTGGTTATTCTGCCTTTCAAATAAGTCTTTAAGGAAAAATAAGAGGTAAGATGCACTTTCCATAAACCGTTGGAAGCGTCTTTATATCTGCAATCTTGATAAATATATCGCCAAAAAAATTCCCTTAACGTAACACTATACTTCTAAAATGAATGTACATAGATAAGAGGTATTTATGTCTAACTATATTTTTCAATCATACATACAGTTGTTTGAGAAACTGCTATTTCACTTCCCGAATGCCCACAATAGCTGATACTGGGATGGGGTTGGGACGGGGCTAGGGCTGAAGCTAGGATCCAGGAACTCATCCCAGGGCTCCCATGTACGTGCCAGGAACTCAGTCACATGAGCCTTCACCAGCGGCTTCCTAAGGTGCTCGTTAGCAGGAAGCTGGAACCCAGAATTAGAGTGAGGCCTTGAACCCAAATACTTCTGTATGATACAATGTCTTCAGCAATAGGCTAAATGCCCAGTGCTGAGTGTTTAATAACTGAAATATGCATTGTTAATATTAAGGACGAAGCAACACTGCCTTAGAAGAGGACTGAGAAGAACGTGTGTCCTGCATCCCTGAACATTCACTACGTCGAATGCCCACCTTGCCTGTTTGTTTTTATGTCTGTAGGAATCGGGATGGGGATGACGGTCCCTATTTCCTTTGCTGTGTTCCCCAGTGAAGATGGCTCCCTACAGAAGAAACTGAAAGTCTGGTTCCGGATTCCAAACCAGTTTCAGAGCAACCCGCCCTCCCCCAGCGATGAGAGCATCAAGATCGAGGAGCGGGACAGCATCACCGTCTATTCCATGTAAGCAGGTGGTGCTCTCAGCATCCCAGCATGACACTTGCTCCCCATCCTTTCCTCCCCAGGTCATCGCCAGTGAGCGCTGGTGTTGAATCAAGGCAGACATACTGAATCACTGTAGCATCTTTTAGATTACAGCACACACTTTGGCATTTTCTCGGAATGAACACCTTGGCCAACAGCCACATTGCTGGTCAAGAGGCTGTTCTCTCAGCTTACACTTGAGACGCCACCCTGTTATGCAGGGAGATGCCTCTGAGAATGCATAGGTCAAGCTGTGGTTTGAGATCATATAGGACTGAGGAGTAACTGGTTTTCATCGCCCCGCCCCCCTGCTCCCACTGCACTGCAGAAAGGCAGGGAGTACCTGTCAGAGCTGAGAGATCACCATCACCCACCTCCCCCAGGAAGTTCATGACCGTGGCCCTTTGGGTAGAGCATATACCCACTCTGATGTCTTCCTTGTGTTGCCTTGTGGACCTCAGATGGGGTCATGTTCCCTTGACCGTGGAGTGGCAGGTGCAAATGATTGGACACCCCATCTCCTCCAGAAACTACATCTCTTCTAGATAATTTGTGAGTCTCCATTTATCAAAAACCTGCTGTGTGACAGGCACCGAACTATGGAGAGGGGGGATTTCTGCCAGTAGTCACCGTACACGCAGGGGTTAATTCCGCTGTAGAGCAACTTCATGAAAAATAATTGTACTAGTAATCTGGCACTAGGCAAAGTTTTGATCCATTCTCAGGGATTCCCCAACTTAGTTATTTCACTGTTCTGCTCTTTAGCCTAGGGTGGGACAGATTTTCCTGGAAAGTGAGGCTCCCGGCTAAGGGCAGTCTTCAGCCAGGTGATGTGAGGCCCCCCAGAGGACAGGTTGTATAATGCAGCTGGCATGGGCCATCCAGCTGCCACGCTGCTTCCTTCCGCAGCACGTAGGGAAGTCTTCCTGCAGTGGGATAGCAAGGCACCTCCAGCACAGATTTAAGGAAGCCCTCGTTCTCACAGCATCCAAGTGCAGGATGAGACCCAAGAGTGAGCTCCCACTTAGATTTGACTCCCTATCCCACCCCAGTTCCTGTCTCTCCCATTCCCCTACCTTTTTTTTTTCTTAAGATTTATTTTATCTTTATTGAAAAGTCAAATATACAGAGAGGAGGAAGAGACAGAGAGGAAGATCTTCTGTCCACTGGTTCACTCCCCAAATAGCTACAATGGCCAGAGCTGAGCTGATCTAGAGCCAGGAGCCTGGAGCTTCTTCTGGGTCTCCCACGCAGGTGCAGGGTCCCAAGGCTTGGGGCTGTCCTCGACTACTTTCCCAGGTCACAAGCAGGGAGCTGGATGGGAAGCTGGGCTGCTGGGATTAGAACCAGCGCCCATATGGGATCCCAGTGAGGACAAGGTGAGGACTTTAGCCACTAGTCTACCGTGCTGGTCCCTGCATCTTTATTTTGTTCATTATGAACATGGATGTGGATATGCTATCGAATGTTGCAGTTGTTGACACTCAGATTGGCCCACTGTTGGCCACTGAGGGTCTCATCGAGCTGGCATCTCAGTCCTTTGGACAAAACTACGAGCATCTTTAGCATCTTCCTTGCCTGCTGGGATTGCATGTTTCCAACACAGTGTGACATTTCTTTCCCTAGAGCTTTTTCTCCTAGGAACTCTCATCCTTTATGATGTAAAAAGACTTCTATCTAGAAGTATCAAAGCCACATCTATGGAGATTTCTTTTTAAATATAAACAAATGAAAGTACCAAGTATAATGTTTAGCTGTGCATTTGTTTTTGGTACTTCTAATTTAGCATCTAGGCTTTCCTCAGTTAGCCACATGGCGTCACTGCCCTGACAAATAGGCATTCAGAAGTACCCCCTCCTATCATTGTGCTATTTCTGTCTCCACTCAAGAGAGATGAAAAGAGGCAAAAGAACTATTTCAAATACGAAGGTACAATCCAAGTAACACAATGAGGGTGTTCTACAGCAACTTTGATTCCATAAAAGAAAGTCTTACATCCTTCAATCCCTCCTCAGGTCTACAAGAAGACTGTATGCTTATTATCAATGTTAATTATCACTGCTTTTTAGAGGAATAGAATGCTAAAGGAAAAAATGATATTCTCAGAATATTTTAGTCCTCACAAGAGACCTTGGGATCATTCTCATTAGACTCGTGGTGACATTCCGGGCTATTGTCCTCAGTCATTCTATGAAGGCCAACTAGCAGAGAGCTCGGCATGTGGCATCGGGTTCTCAATGATAGTTGAGGTCTGAAGCTTTCACATACTTTGCTAGAAATGTCTGGGTGCAGAGGAAAGAGTTGAAAATCAGGGGTCCAGGGTCATGATGACCTGGTCTCTAGTGCCAGCTCACCACTGAGTGACCATGGGAACTTCTGGCACCTTGCTGAGCCTCACTGTGCCTCACTTTCCTTGCCTTCAAGCTGTGGGTCAGAGTAACTGCTCTTTGCTTTGTGATGAGGGTGAAGTAACAGCTGTGGATGGCCCCCATGATGTTTGGTGGAAGGCAGACAGAATCTTAGCATCCTGATGTCACCTCCCAGTGAGAGTTAAGGCTTTACTGGAATGAGCAACAACAACAAAAAGGCCAAAGCTATGGCAGATATGCTTGGTTTGAAGCCTCCACTCAAGGGAGGAATGAGTTTTGTAACTTTCGGTAAATTGTCCTGGGCAATTTTCTCATCTTCTGCAATGGGCTTTACAAGGCGTTGGCTCCGAAGGTCAGTTTAGTTGTGTCTATGGAGGAGCCGGGTCAGCTCCTGGCACCCAGGATTGCTGACATTGCTTTGCCCTGTAAAGGCTCAGGCCCCCCAGGGGAAGCCACCAGCAAACGGGGAGCTCTGCCTGGACTGGAAGAAAGAGCCCGCCCCCTAATCTCTGTGTGGCCCCCATGTGAGTGCTACAGATCAGGGTTGGTGGAGTTTCTTAGATCACTGCAGTACTCTGTAGTCACAAGGAACTGGGCCCAGGATTGAGTTTGACTCACCAAACTTGGCTCCCTCACTTCAATTTAAAAGGGGCTTTCTTGGCCAATTTATCAAAAATAACCCTCTACTTGTTTGCCAATCCTGCTTTATTTTTTCTTTGCATCACTTTTCTGCAATTGTATTCTTTGTTCATTTATTTGTCACTCCTTCCTCCCCTAGAATGCAAGCTTCCTGAGGCAGGACCTCTGGCTAAAATCTACCAGGTGCTCAGTAAGAAGTGGCTAGATGGGTTTGAAAGAAGGCTGTTGGTTACTTGTACCCCTGCACTTCTCTCCCCAGCACAACTTGGTTCCTTCTTACAGCTGCCACTGTCAGCCAACTGTTGGTCACTCCCTACCCTGACCTCTGACTCCGATCTCATCAGACAATGTAAACACAAAGCTAATGTCATTTGCTCATTCTTCTATCCATTCATTCATCCAAAGGAGGGGAAAAGGTAGATTCCATGGCTCACCTACTCTGTACTTATCAACTGTGTAGGTGCTAAAGATACGACAGAGAACAAGGTCTCTGTCAGCTTACACAGGGAGACACATTCTAAAGGCAAACTCAGACCAGTGTCTCAAGATAAGGATTGTGTCTTTCCAAAGACAAGAACAGGTATCCATGGATTGAACTTATACGGAGGAGTGTTTCTAACAGGGAGAGTTACAGAGACACAGAGATCTTCTATCCTCTGATTCACTCCCCAAATGACTACAACTGCTAGAGGTGAGCCAGGTCAAAGCTAGCAGCCTGAAACTCTATCCAGGTTCCCACAGGGCAGTCAGGAGCTCCGGTACTTGAACCACCTTCCACTGCTTTACCAGACGCATTAGCCAAGAGCTAGATCTGAAGTGGAGCAGCCAGGACTTGAACTGGTGTTTGTACAGGATGCTGGTGTCACAGCTGGTAACTTAACATGCTGTGCCAAGACACCAACTCCAGGGATGAACACTTCTACTGAAAACTAAAATCTGACACAAGTGGACACCTGACTGGGCATTGAAGTCTTTGGCCTGGGGAGCATTCCAACCCCACCTGGAGAGACGTGTGACGGTTCCGCTGCGGTGGATTGAGTGCTTGTAATCTTGAAGTTACCTCCAAAACTCCTGCCAATAGGAACGGTGTGTATCTCAAACTTAATCAGTCACCATTTCATTTTTTTCCAGCAGCCAATTGTCCCATGAGCCCTTGGGAGGTGGGAGGGGCTCCCATCACCATGTCCACATGAGTGATACTCTAAACAGTGCCCTTAGAGCTGCCTTTCCTCCAAGCAGCAGGCTCACGCTGCCAGCTCCCCCGGAGGCAGCACTCCATCAAGCTCCCCGAGTGTCTCCCACCTCAGTGCGTCCCACGTGGAACTCAGACTCTCCCCCACGTGGTGCCTCTTTGTGTTTCCTGACATTCTAAGGGTCACTTCATGATCCTACCCACCAGCTCCCATGTAATTCTGACTTCATCACCTTTCATATTTTAATTTTTGACCCAGGTCTGTCACCTGCCAAGGTCCCTTCCTTCCCATCCATCCTGCCGCACATTTTTATCCCCACTTTCCTGAGCAACTGCTATCACCTACTAATTTCAGTCCCCCACCTTTGCCCCGCCCCTCCAAAATGTCCACAGGATCAATCATGTCATGGTCGCTCCCCTGTGCTGGGCATTTGGCACAGTTGTTAAGACACCTGTGTCCCATGTTACAGTGTCTGGGTTCAAGTTCTTGTTCGGTTTCCACCCCAGATTTCTGCTAGTGTACCCAGGGGGAGCCAGCAGGGGGGTGCTCAAATACTTGGATCCCAGCCACATATATGGGAGACACAGACTGAGCTCCTGGCTCCTGGCTTCAGCCTGGCCCTGTTCTGGTCCCATTCTGGCTGCTGTGGGCATTTGGGGAACGGACCAGTGGTTGGAAGATTTTCTTTTCTCTTTCAAGTAAAATGAAAACAAACAAAAAACGAAGCCTCCCCAGTGGGCCTCAGCCTGCCCTAACCTCAGCACACAATGGGCTTGGA